GTTGCGATTAAATCCAGGCATCAAGTAATCGTATTAGGGATGAATGTAGCCAAATCAACTACATTCCTTCGGGATACGACCAACATATGTTCATGAGTAACTTTTATGATCAATAATGTGACAACCCCAAATCTATTCCCGTTACAAACCCTATTTTCACTAACGGAATGCGTCATTATAAGTTTACGGCCAAGGCCAAGCTTGGGCCGTAAACACCCATATTTTTGTGTCAAACAAGTCCCAAAACCCCTCAAATGCATGTAAGGATTTTAGCTAAGGCCTTTGGAAGTGTGTTGTACCATTAAACTTCACATTTGGACACAAAATGAAGAGTTTACGGCCAAGGATGTTCTTGGGCCGTAAACTCCCCAAAAATATATGCCAAATTGTCCCAAACTCACTATATGGCCAAGGATGTTCTTGGGCCGTAAACCCCCAAGGATGTTCTTGGGCCAAGGATGTTCTTGGGCCGTAAACTCCCCAAAAATATATGCCAGATTGAGCGTTTGGTACCCAATAACCTCTTGAGCACCTCCTAGGACCCTAATGTCCTATGAAATATGTATTTTACAAGAAGTTAATCATCTTATGCCTTTCATTATAGTATTTGGATATTCTAGCATCGTTTTCGGGGTTTTAAGGCTTAGAAGGGGTTCCCGGGAGTGGTACAAAGTCATGAATGATTTTCGGGAGGGTCCACGAGCTCACTCCCTTGGAGTTTATGGCCCAAAAGCTATCCTTTGGGAGTTTACGGCCGTAAACCCCCTAGGTTTGGCCGTAAATTCTATATTGGTTGACTAAGTCCGCACATTCCTACCCATCAAGGAAACGGACAAGATGGAGAAACTCACTAGAACATACATTAAAGAAATAGTACGACTACATGGCGTCCCTATCTCTATTATCTCAGACAGAGATAGTAGATTCACCTCTAGGTTCTGGCAATCGTTGCAAGAAGCACTAGGGACGAGGCTGGACATGAGTACAGCCTACCATCCGCAGACCGACGGACAGAGTGAGAGGACGATTCAAACCTTAGAGGATATGCTGCGAGCTTGTGTAATTGACTTCGGTAAGTCATGGGACACACACTTACCTCTTGTGGAATTTTCTTATAATAATAGTTATCATACGAGCATCAAGGCAGCCCCATTCGAAGCCCTCTACGGCCGCAAGTGTAGATCCCCCTCTGTGCTGGGCTGAGGTGGGTGACACTCAACTAGCTAAAGGAAGAGTTCCTGACAGCTCTCTCACTGGTCCGGAGATCATTCGAGAAACGACCGAGAAAATTGTATAGATACGCGAACGACTTAAAGCCGCTAGGGATCGACAGAAAAGCTACGCCGATAAACGAAGAAAACCCTTGGAATTCCAGGTGGGAGATCGAGTCATGTTGAAGGTCTCACCCTGGAAGGGCATGATACGCTTTGGAAAGCATGGAAAGTTGAACCCAAGGTACATAGGTCCTTTTGAGATTCTCGCTAGAATCGACCCCGTAGCTTATAAACTCAACCTACCTCACGAACTAAGCAACATACACCCTACCTTTCACGTCTCTAACTTAAAGAAATGCCTGTCAGACGAGACACTCGTAATTCCCCTCGACGAGATTGAGGTCAATGAGAGCCTCAACTTCGTGGAAGAACCTGTTGAGATTATGGATCGAGAAGTAAAACGAACGAAGCAAAGCCGTACCCCAATTGTGAAAGTTCGGTGGAACGCCAAACGAGGACCGGAATTCACTTGGGGAACGCGAAGACCAAATGAAACTCAAATACCCCCATCTCTTCGCATAGTTGTATTGCAACTCTTATATGTATGAATTCTAAAATTTCGGGATGAAATTCCCCTAACGGGGGGATGATGTGACAACCCCAAATCTATTCCCGTTACAAACCCTATTTTCACTAACGGAATGCGTCATTATATGTTATTTCTCGGTATTGTTCGGGTCGTCAATAAATAAATATTTAGTTAATTATATGTTCCGGCATTATCATGAGTAATTATAACGTGCAAATGTTAACCCCGTTTAACTAAATAAAGTTATATTACTTTTCAACCACTTCACCCGGGTAAAAAGTTTTAACCCCGTTAAACTTTAGCATCGAGTAGCCGTGTATCGGGTACAATACCCGAGACATATAAAAACACTTGAACACTTCAATTGGACTCTTTTACCACAATTACACCTCTCTCTCACTACTTTCTCTCTCTAGACCCGAAATCGACTCCAAATCCGCGAATTTCCGACTTCCAAACGTAAGGATTCATCCCCTAACTTAATCTAATCATACTTTACTGCTTTTAGAGTCCAAAATCATGAGAATCAAGGACCATAAAGGAGTTTACGGCCTAAGAAGCTCCTTAGGCCGTAAACCCCCAAAATCATGCCAAAGACTTTGTTTTTCCTTCCTTTAAGCTTATGGACTAGTTAAGGCATAAACCTAGGGGACTTTGGACACTAAAACACAAGGAATTAGAGCCTAAAAAGGAGTTTACGGCCCAAGCATGTGCTTAGGCCGTAAACACCTCAAACACCCCAAAAACACTTGTTTAATGTCCCAAAAACTCATCTAGGGTGTTTGGCAATTTAGACTTGACAACAAGGAAGGCTTAAATGCATCAAACAACATCATTGATGGCAAAAAGAGGAGTTTACGGCCAAGGCTAAGCTTGGGCCGTAAACACCCATATTTTTGTGTCAAACAAGTCCCAAAACCCCTCAAATGCATGTAAGGATTTTAGCTAAGGCCTTTGGAAGTGTGTTGTACCATTAAACTTCACATTTGGACACAAAATGAAGAGTTTACGGCCAAGGATGTTCTTGGGCCGTAAACTCCCCAAAAATATATGCCAAATTGTCCCAAACTCACTATATGGCCTTCTAGATTTATCTAAGGTGTATGAGACTTTGTTGTACCAATAAAACATACATCTTGAAGGGTTTACAAGAGTTTACGGCCCAAGAACAAGTCTTGGCCGTAAACTCCCCAAAAATGTCACAAATTATGATGTTTAATCCCTTAAAATGGTCCAAGACACACACCACTAAATCAAGGAAGTGAAATAAGACCTTAAACATACACTTTGGAGTGCCACAAGAGTTTACGGCCAAACCTAGGGGGTTTACGGCCGTAAACTCCCAAAGGATGGCTTTTGGGCCATAAACTCCAAGGGAGTGAGCTCGTGGACCCTCCCGTAAATCATTCATGACTTTGTACCACTCCCGGGAACCCCTTCTAAGCCTTAAAACCCCGAAAACGATGCTAGAATGTCCAAATACTATAATGAAAAGCATAAGATGATTAACTTCTTGTAAAATACATATTTCATATGACATTAGGGTCCTAGGAGGTGCTCAAGAGGTTATTGGGTACCAAACGCTCAATCGACACTTTTACCCGATTTACCCGATTTACCCGATTTCCGCGATTTCAGGTGAGTTCATACCCCTTAATGAACCTTTCAAATGTTTTATATGTTTTAGGGGGGAGATACAAGTTGAATATACATGTTTATGAAAAGTTATACAAAACTATTTTTCAGATTTCAGAGTTAATCACATGTGATTCCCAATCTGTAGTTCAAATCACATGTGATTTATCACTATGCTTTATAAATAAGTCAATTGTTTTCAAAACTATCTTGGATTAACAAACAAGTTTTAAATGTTCCTTTCGTACAATACTTTTGTTAAATAAAACTCTTTATGAGAATGTAATCATACTAATATATTTATATAAGTAAGACTTGAAAGACTTAGGACCGATAGCTCGCCTTATTTCCTGTTTCTTGTTTGATTGTGGACTTAGGGTAGTAGTTATCCATCCGACTGTCATTGATTTCTTAATTATATATCTCATATATTAGTACAGATTATGAGTACTTCTTAATTCATTAATTACCTGAATCACTACTTGACTAGAACCACATACACTAAATTAACTATAATGGGTATAGTTAAGGACTCTATCCCTAGTTTCCACTATTACTCTACACTACTATAATTCTCTATATTATGAAGCAATACACTAATAAGAGAATACAATACAAGTTATACGAAAGATTACTACACTATAATACAAGAGAATGCACTAATCATGAGATAACTCACTAATCCACTACGGGATACTCTATACGCTATTCACTATGCCCGAAGTTTTCCGACAGGAAGACGACACTATATGTATAGATCTATACGGGGCAGATGCTATTACATCCCGACTGATAACTTCAGTCCGAGCCGCTCAGGCCCAGGGATGCTTTTACACTACTACATTATGCATGACTGGGAAGGTCATGGGAGTTCGCTATTACTCACACTATTGAAGAATATACTAGAAAGACACTATAACTGTACTAAAACACTAAATGAAAGATGAAGTAATCTCCCGAAGTAAATAAGTATCTAATACTAAAGGATGCTGCACCACTATTACATACTCTAAGAATAACTCACTATGTTACATTACTTAATGTTCTGGAGAATATGGGATTTTCTTGGTTTCACCACTATTTATGATTTCAAACATCAGTTTTCATAATAATGACTCTAATGCTTTTTATGCAAGTACTCACACTAAAACTCTTATGAACTCACCAGCTTTATGCTGATATTCTTTTCAAAATAACTTGTATCTTCAGGTCAAAGATAGACAGGTACAGCAGCAATTTTTGGAGAAGATGGAGGATACAAGACCCATCTCTTATTTTGTTTACTTTTGGTGTTTGTCAAACATTACAAAACACACTTGTAAATACACTTGCTATGTAAATGAAATGGTTGTATGATTCTTGTTTTTACTATTATACAATTGTGATGATACTGTACACTACGTCATCCACCCCGAAACGCATTCCGCCGTTATCGGTTTTGGGGTGTGACAAATAAACCAAAAACATACCATCTAGCTTTGAGAGACCAAACTTAAACAAAATAAATATTGTAGGAATATTTTAAGAATACCATCCTTACACACCCCATGCACGTAGGCGATATGGTAGAAATGAAGCAAGACGACACTTACTATCAAGCTCTAGTAGCCTTTGGGGAGATTGAGGCGGATCTAGAAGAGGATCCAGAAGAAAACCCAGAGGGGAGACCGGAAGAATATATGGTAATGATTACGAATATGGCGAATCTGACCAGGAGTTAGAGGAAGGAAAGGACATTAAGGAGACACCTAGTGAACCGTACCTCTAGGAAGCTCTATCAAATCCACACATGATTCAGGAGAGTGACACAGACCATATACGCTCTGTTGAGGATAAAATAATCAGTCTCAAGCGTCAACTCTTTGCAGCCGAAGCTAGGGTCATTCGAGCCGAGCGAAGAGAAGAGGTGAACGAACTCGCTAAACTTCTAATACGTCAGCTCGACGATTGAGTGTCATCGTCACCACTACTGATGGAACTTGCTCTTCTATTTACTATTATAAGTACTACAATATGTACGATCAGCCGTATCTCCTACTAGTATCATGTTTCATCTATGTGTACTACTCTACATACAATTGACCTTAGGACTAAGTGATTACATTACTCAGAAGGTTGTCATGCTGTCGGATCATACATTTTCCTATGTATTGTATGCCTTTTTGGCAAATTTTCTTATATTAAAATGGTTATTACTAGTGGAAATGCTATGTGTTTTAATATGGGTTCACTTATATGCACAAACAAACCATCAAAACCGCTGAATATCAAAGGATCTCACAAACCAAAATAATGTATGTACGTTATAGATAGACTTAGCATTCATACAAAATCTATTACTACTTACCACCATGACTATATCATATAGATGTAGCTCATACAACAAGACACGAGATTCATAGAGTACGACCAGAAAGGACCATCGTTACTTACGATCCTACTTGTCATCATGCATCAGAAAGTGTCATCCCCCAGAGATAACAACCACACATGTGAGACACCAATCCTGCAAATGGACTCTGCTATATTCCAAGCTGCTGTAACAGCTACAGTAACCGCTGCTATGGCACAACTCAACGCAAACAACATCAACAAAGGTGGAAATAGTGTCGACAACTACAAACGAAGTAACAACCATGGAAACCAACGAGTGATAGCTCATCAAGGTACTTTAAACCCCAAACTTAAGAACCAGAAGCGAGAGTCTGGGAATAAGAGAAAAGGGCAGTCAACTCAAGGGTCCTAAAAGAAACAACATGTTGTTGTTGTCCATATGACCATGACACCCACTACATCAATACCAACAAGAACTTATGTTGGAATCCTTCCAAAATGCAACAAGTGTAGTTTCCATCATCATGGAGTATGACGGGAATGGTATTGCTATAGGTGCGGTGAGTTACTTCAAAACTTGATGAACACTCTTTAAATCACCCACTCCAAACTTTGTATCTGGAATTATAAATGTATGCCATAGTGCAGTGAGTTAAGACATTTCAGGAGGAATTGTCCAACAAAGAGATGATAGAGAAACATGAGGAATTTGGCAGTTGGACGTGAAGAAAAAAAGAGGAATTTCACCTATAGTTTCCGTACGTTCTCAAACAACGATAATTAAACATTAAACTTTTACCAAACCAATCAGGAATCACCAAATTATTATCTCAACTGAATAACCACTCTTTCAACCATAACAAAAAATCCTTGAACACTCGCTAACGACTAGGCACATGGACATTTAGGTGAAAGACACTACACTCATTCCTACCCTCCCGATAATGAGGAAAAAGCTGAAACCACAAAAGATGTATATACACAGGGTGCACTCTCACGTTAATTACTCATTCATTCCCAATCGACTTGATGCTAGCAAATAATAGGAGCTTTGGATGTGACTACAGGCATGGTTTGGTTAAGCCCCTACCATGCCGACATTATGTGTCGCGAGAAGGTCATTCACCTTCATCTCTCCAATCACGATACCCCAATAATCTATGGTGATAAACCTGGTGCCAATCTTCATCTCATCTCATGCGTCAAGGCATAGAAGTTCCTACACAAGAAGAACTATGCATTCCTCGCTTCTGTTGTAGACAAAACTAAAGAAAAAAATCAACATTTAAGACATCCCAGCGACAAGCGATTTTCCGGATGTATTTCCTGAAGACCTTCCAGGAATACCCCCAGAAAGACAGGTTGGATTTCGAATCAAGCTCATACCAGGAGCCACATCAAATGCCAATTCAACCTACATGTTATCTCCTGCTGAAATTCAAGAGTAATCCAGTCAATTGAAGAATTGTTGAGCAAAGGATTCGTCAGACCAAGCTTCTCACCCTAGGGAGCTCCAGTCTTATCGTCAACAAGACGGGTCCTTCTGATTGTGCATCGATTTTAGGGAATTGAATAAGCTCACTATCAAAAACCGATACCCACTCCATCAGATTGATGACCGATTTTACCAGCTTCAAGGAACTAGTTGCTTCTTCAAAAATAGATCTAAGATGCGGTTATCATCAGCTTCGAGTCTGAGAAGTGGATATTCCAAAAACTGCTTTCCAAACTCGATATGGTCATTTTGAATTCGTTGTGATGCCCTTCGGTCTAATGAATGCCCTAAAGAATTCATGGGCCCTACAAACCAAGTTTTCCCAAGCATTCCTAGTCAAACATTTTCTTATTTTCATCGATAACATACTCGTACGCTCACGAAAAAATAACAAACACTATCAACACTGACGACCAGCTTGGGAGGCATCGAAAACGGAGAATATCGCGAAGGAAGCATTGTGTGGATTAGATAAAACTCTCAAAGTCAACAAGATGAAGCTTATTACTATAAGGGTTGGATTGGGCACTATCTGGGTGATCCTCGGTAGGTTAACCAAATATTCTCATTTCCTGCTAATAAAAGAATTGTACAAGATGGAAAGATTAACACGGATCAATATCAAATAAATCGTGAGACTCCATGGAGTGCCAGTATCTATAATCTCGGATTGGGATAGTAGATTTACTTCAAGATTTTGGCAATCGCTTCGGAAGGCAATGGGAACACAACTAGACATGAGCACTACTTACCACCCTCAAACCGATGGCCAAAGCTAACGAACCATCCAAATATTCGAAGACATGCTCCGAGCTTGTGTGATTGACTTCAGAAAGTCGAGGGATATTCACTTGCCTTTGAACAGTTATCACACGAGTATTAAGGTTACTCCTTTTGAGGTATTATATGGTCGCAAATGCATATCACCTCTATGTTGGATTGAGGTGGGAGACACCCAACTAGAAAAAAGGCATTCAACAGCCAGCACTCTCACAGGGCCAAAAATCATATGTGAAACAATACAAAAGATATTATAAATCAGATCCCGACTTCAAGCATCAGGAGACCAACAGAAGAGCTATGCTGAAAAATGGAAAAAGCCTCTGGAGTTTCTAGGTTGGAGATTGGGTGCCACTAGGGGTCTCTCCCTGGAAAGGGGTAATCCATTTTAGGAAACAGGGGAAACTAAAACCACGATATATTGGACCATTCGAAATTCTTGCTCGAATTAGCCTAGTGGCTTAAAAGTTGCAACTACATGCCTAGCTTAGCAATGTACACCCCGTGTTCCACATCTTGAATCTGAAAAAGTGCTTATCAAATGAAACTCTTGTTATCCCTTAGGAAGAGATCGAAATAAACGAGTATCTCCTGTTCGTCGAAGAACCAGTCGAGATAATGGATAGGGAAGTAAAGTGTACAAAGCAGAGCCGCATCTCGATTGTAAGGTTCAATGGAATGCTAAGCATGAACCAGAATTCACATGGGAACGCGAAGGCTAGATGAAGCAAAAGTACCCTCACCTATTCTCTCATTCATTATCCTACCTTTCAAAATAATTTCGGGACGAAATTCCCTCTAACGGGGGATGCTGTCATAACTAGCATTTTTGCTAGGAAATTCTATTCTCATGTAAACATCATCTATTGTAAAACTTGTACTCTAAGTGAATATCATGCTATATGATAAACATGAAATCATCCATTTGAATCCAAACTCTTGAATGAAGGTCAAAACCTAATACAATACCTCTCATATCTTCAACTATGGGTTGAAAACCCTAAAACTCTCGGTTCAAGATCATTATGGACTAGGATTCTTCTATTGGGCCTAATGGACCAATAAACTTCCAATTTAACTACTTTGGGCCTAGGAACCCTATTTGGACCCAAATTGGACCCACATTCATGAAACTATAGCATTTTGGGCAATATCGGCCTAGAATGAATCATTTACCTCTAATGGGCCATGATGGGCCTTAAATGATTTAATTAGCCCTAATCAACCAGAAACTCCATTCCTTTTATTTCATTGGGCCGTGAACCCATATAAGGGCCGAATGGGCCGAGAACCATCCAGTTTAGCCTCATAATATCGAAATGAAGCGTGAAAGGCCCAAACTAGTACTCCTTTTGTTCTCTTTTCCCTCTCTCTTAGCCCAACAACAACAGAAACAACAACAAAAGAGAGAAAATTTCATGGAAAATGGAGGTGACACCTCATCTTTACCGCTACGATCTCCATTCTAATTACCTCTAATGAATCTAAACACTTAAACCTTAATCTTCCATGCATTAACCAATTTCATCTCTACCTCTCTTCTTTCTCTACTCTCGACTGAAAAACAAACACATACATACATTTCCACTCTCAAACTCTCCAAAAATCCTCTCAAGAAATCCCTTTTCTCCTCAAAAATTTGTGACTTGGTGGGTGATTTCAAGAGTGTTCATCAAGGTTTCAACCTCTTGGTAAGTCATCATCTCATACAAGTTGTTACCTTCCATTTTAATCCTAAGAACTCCTTCTTACAATATTCATTTCATGTTCTAACTTCGTAAAATCAACTAAGTTCGAAAACTTCTTCCAAGGAAGCACTCAAGGCCGAAAACCACCTCATCTCCTCTCAAATATTCATCAAAACCAAATCCAAACATCAAGTGAGTTCATACCCCCTTTATTTTCGGTTTTATATGATTTTTGGGGGAGAATACAAGTTGTTATGTGATAGATCTAAGTGTTATGCATGTTATGCGTGTATTTGTTGAGTTAAGATGTGATTATGTGTTAAAACTCTAAAGATATCGAAAATTTCTAACCAAAGGTAGTGTTATTTACAAACTAAAACACTTCATACAACTTACTATATAGATAAATGCATTATTCATGTGAGGGTTCATAAGGAACTAAACAAAATCATGAAAAAGGACCACTTTTGACAAATAAACAAAAAGTTTAGGTTTTCAAGTTATTTCCTGTTTTTAGAAGTACTAAAAGTGTCATTTTATTTCAAAATGAGTCTTAATGATATTCATGATTTCAAAGGGCCACTCCTTTCCAAAACAGATACACCTGAAATCATAAACAAAACTGTAAGCATGAGGCTTATTGAGTTCCTAAGA